GGAAGAGCACAATGATAATACCAACATGGGCCAGTGAAGCGACGTCCTCCACAACTAGACTGAAGAACAAAAGGACAGCAACTTGTTTGTTCCCCCTCCCCCAGTTCCCCAATAAAATCGTAAAAAAACAAAAAACAAAATGAAGCAAAGCTCTTAGAACAGTTTCTGGCACGTAATAAGCTCTAACATTTTGTTATCTTTTTTGTGTTACCAGAAAATAATTTCTACAAAATCTGAATGTATTATGCCCTTTGGAAGAATATTTAAATATCAGAGAATTTTAATTTGTTTCATAATATATTTATAAAACAAGAAGAATATTGTATATTTACAGAAGGTGATGTAACCATATTGACAAAATTATATTTTATATTCTTCTCACCGGAAATATATATTTATTTTCTTAAAATAGCCATGCTGGCTGGAGCCACAGCAGTTTACTCCCAATTCATTACTCAGCTAACGGATGAAAACCAATCCTGTTGTCCTGTCTGTCAGAGAGTGTTTCAGACAGAAGCTGAATTACAGGATGTCATCAGTGATTTGCAATCTAAGCTGCGGCTCGCTCCAGATAAACTCAAGTCAACAGAATCAGATCTAAAGAAAAAAGAAAAACGGCGTGATGAAATGCTGGGGCTTGTGCCCATGAGGTGAGAATAGGGATTTACCATTACTGTTCACGTGGCAGCAGCAGCAGCAGCACTGTAAAAGGTGCCCGTCCAATGGCTGGCATGTGGTAGTGACTCAGTAAGCACGTCTTGAATGAATAAAAGTTAAAGTCAGGATTCTGAGCCAGTATGCCCCATCTCATGTTACTTATATGATAAGAAATAATTATTTTGTTTAAAGGCACGTTTACCTCTTAATCTAGTCATAGGGAAGATATAAGAGTGTGTGTGTGTGTGTGTGTGTGTGTGTGTGTGTGTGTGTGTTTAATTCCCGAGACTTGGCTTGAGGGCAAAAATTTTGACCAATTTAGAACTTTTGGCTGATAATTTAACTTTCTAAACCCAGCAAAAGAATTAAAGTACTGAAAAGCTCTCCAGGAGACAAATTTTAAACTATATTATGTCATTTGCACTTTCAAAAAGAGTGAATCATAGAGTATTTCTGTTGTTTATTTTTCCCTTGTATTTACAAGAATTTCAGACGATGGTCTATTTATAAATAAAATAAAATCAGAAAGTATGTGATGATTGCCTTGGTGCCTCTCACAGCAGAGCACAGAGCTGGTCACAGAGACAGACCAGTAAGACATGACCCTCAAGGAGCTGTTGGTCTAGGAAAGGAGACAAGCTCTCAGAATTAGACATTTAGAAAGCTAGGCTTAATAAAGTACTTAAGTAATGCATTTGTTTGAACCAACTAAGCACTTTATTAAGAACAGAGGAGCTAGTGGACTACAGAATAAGAATAGGATTTTGAGAACAAGGTAGGAGGGGGAATGTAAACCATAGGGAAGTTGGAAGTTGGTTCAACTCGGTTAAGAGAAGGAAATGAGAGCAGTGAGTATAAAGGGAAGGAGAGTATGACCTGTGCTGCAGTAGAAATGGTATCTGGAGTTTGGGGAGTTATTTGTAGGGATTGAGTCCCATAAATTGGGAAGATAGGACTGGATTATATTCAGGCTTGTTACAACTCTGATAGGTGATGAGTAGCTGTTCTGAGGGATTTAATCAGAGATGTGTTTTAGGAAAATTAATCTAATGTTAATTAATGAATGGATAAGACTGAAAAAAACTGGAAGCAGAAAAACCAAGAGGATATGTTATGTTGTCCTGGAAAACCAAAGAGGAGTTTCTGGAAAAGTAGGAAAGGTCTAAGATGTGCTTTGTGATAGCCAGCCTCTTAGATGGGCGCCAATGATCCCTACTTCCTGGCATTCATAGTTTTGTGTAGTCTTCCCTCATGTTCCAGTATTGGTCTGTGTAACCGATAAAATACGCCAGAAGTGATAGCATGTCCCTTCCAGGAACAAAGGCTTCCTGCTCTCCTCCTCTCTCTCTCGGATCTGGGGGAAGCCAGCTGCCATGTTATGAGCAGCCCTGTGGAGGGCCCCACTTGGTGAGGACCTGAGGCCTTTGAACAACCACGTGAGGGAGTGTGCTGGTTGGAAGCAGATGCAGCAGTAGTCAGGCCTTGAGATGACTGCAGCTTCAACAAGATACCCAAGTCAGAAGTATCCAGATATCACTCCTGATTCTCACATTTGTGGGAAATAAATGCTGTTTTAAGCTGCTAAGTTGTGGGCTATTATGTTCTGCAACCATAGATAACTAATATCATCATCAAGGGTGAAAACTAGATATTGGTGCTGCAGAGAGATTGTGATAAGAAGACAAAAAGCAGCAGTATGAGAATGAAAAGGAAGGAGAGGAATAAGGCAGTATCTTAAAAAGCAGATCAAATAAAAGATAAAATTTAAAGTTGGTGGAAAGTGCATGTCGAGGAAATGTGAGCTTAGTTCTGTAATACTGATATATTTTAAATAGCAGAAATCAATATTGTGTTATATTTTGAGACCCTTGGTATCACAGCTCCCCTTCTCAGAGTAAGGTGCCTTCTTCATTCATTGTTGTACCTCCATCATTCCTTGTATATTTTAACTTTGATACTATTAGATGAATTAACAAACTGTATTAATCTGTTCCAGTTATTTATTGCTGTGTAACAAACCTCCTTAAAACTTAGTGCCTCACAATAATGATTTATTATGATTTTTCATGGTTCTGTGGAATGATTGGGCTTAGCTGGGTGGTTCTCACTTGGGTCTTTCACAAGGTTGCAGTTAGATGTTGGCTGCATTCATCTCAAGGGTCTCCTGGGCCTGACGTTCACAATGGCTCACTCACATGGCTGGCAGTGATGCTGATAGTTGCCTGGGAAACCAGCTGGAGCTGTCAAACAGAATGTCTTCACGTGGCCTCCACACGTGCCTTGGGCTTCGGGCAGCATAGTGGCTGGGTTATCAAAGGAAGTAGCCTATGAGCAAGTATTCCAAGACAGAGAAGCTGCAAGTCTCTGGGCACAGAAACGGGCACATTGTTACTTCTGCTGTTTTCTATTGGTCGGAGTAGTCACAGAGCTGCCAACATTCAGTGGGAGGACACAGACTTCACTTATCGATGAGGAGTGGCAAAGTATTTGTGGGTAACTTTAATCCACATAGTACCCCAATATCTGGAGTGGCACCTGTGTGCCATTTTGGTCGCCACACATAAAATAAAATGACCTAAAGCTAAAAAGTTAAATATACAATATAGTCTGTTAGGTGATGATTAGTGTCGTGGACAAAAATACAGGGTAAGGGCAAGAGAGTACCTGAGGGGTGGTAGGAGGGGAGTAGCTGGTGAAAGTGGCGTTCGAGTAGAGGTCTAAGAAGTGAGGGAGCCAGCCATGCAGTTTCCAGGACATGAGCATTCCAGACAGTGCACAATCCCTCAGTCACATTTGACCTGATGGCCAAAGGAGAAAGTGGTGGAAGATGAGCTCAGAGGGGTAGTAAGGAGTCAAATTTTGCTTATCCTCTTTGAGGAAACTGATACTTTCATTTTAAAGCCCCAGACTTACCAACACTTAATATATGCGTAAGACCACCATCATGAGTAAAATGTTAAGACAAAAATATACCTGTTTATATTTTGCTCAGTACTAACTCAGGTTCATTTATTATACTACCTTATTTAAATAAAAACTCAACTAATATTTTTCCCCATTTCTCCCAAAGGTTTTTTTCAGTACTGTATCTGTATTGGTGTCTTTTACTAAAATCCCCCTGGAAAAGAAATGCTGTCACAAAAATAGGCGAATTGAATTTTCTGAAAATTTTGAAAAAAACAGAGAACCCTAAAAGATCTCAGTAGCACATTCTCAGGATATATCTTTACTTTTTCTTAGAATACTTAATTTTTAACATCTTAGGTAACAATCGAAAAAGAAGGCACCAAATCCTGGACCACATCAATAAAGGTCTTTCTGTGTGCATGTGAAAATGTAAAAATAGGGTTCAAACTGTGAATGGATGCCTGTAGTTCTCTACACACATGTCCCCAGTGAAGTGAATGCATGACTGTCATTTGGCTATCATAGCTGTGTCATTTTTTAGGTACTGGCCACATAATTTGAGACCAACTTGTAGTCTATGACCATAACATTTAGGAAGTAATATGAACATGGAATTACTCATAATCTGCATACCTTCATATTTACTCAGGGAATTTTTCCATTTCTGTGGTGTAAAAAATTATAGGTCTTCTATTGTCACAAATTAGTTCAGGTTGGCATTTCTTAGTCAGACTTTTAAAAAATAATTAAGTCAGTAGCAGTATACAAGAGCTAACCCTTGAATTTCTAGTTTTCCCCTTAGTTTATTATAAGACCCCCAGTAGAAACCAATTCAATTTATTGTACTAATTTAACTTTAATTAAGAATTTGGAATTTTTCTGAAATAAACTTGATAGCTTTTTTGAAAGATAAAATACAAGTTTTATTGTTTTAGAAGTGTCAGCAACTTTGTAAATGATATAAATGTCTAATCACTGTGTTGTGCACCTGAAACTAATATAATATTGTATGTCAACTGTAACTGGAAAAAAAAATTTAAAGGACACTAAAGGAGGAAAAGAAGAAACTACATGAGAAAGACAATGCTAAAGTGCTAATTTGGGTGGTAATGAAGTAGATGTAGACATTCAGAGAAGGAAGAAATGAGTAAAAACTGTTTCTGAGAGGAGACGCCCTAGGAAGAGGTACTAGACTGCCTTGAAGATTGGGTGGAATTTGATAAGCTTCCAGGAAGGGACAGTGTTCCAGTATTAGGGAATAGCTCCGTTCCATAGGCCCAGATCATTGCAGACATCTTGAATTTGGAAGGCAAAAATGGAAAAAATTCTCCCTAGTTAGCCCTTCTGGGCTGCCAAGATTTAAAACAAATGTACCCATAGTTTTCAGTTTGAGTTTTGTCCAATTCTCTACTATCCCTAGTAACTGCCACATTAGCTAGAACAGCAGCAGTAAACTGAGTTAAAAGCTTTTGTACCATAAACCCCATGTAGCATTTAGCTGTATGATTTTCTTCCTTCTTTCCATCATTTTTTTATTTTGAAAAAAATTTTAGACTTGGAGAAAAATTACAGAAATAGTACAGAAAATTCACACATACCTTTCACCTAACTTCTAATGATCACAATTTATGTAACTATAATACAGTTATCAAGAAATTAACATTGGTATGCTATTAACTAAACTACAAATCATATTTGAATTTCAGCAGTCTTTCCATTAATGTCTTTTTTTTTTGTTTCAGGACCCTACCCAGGATCCCACACTGCATCTAGTTATTATTTCTCCTTAAGCTCCTGCAGTCTATAACAGTTCTTCAGTCTTTGTTTTTTTTTTTCATGATCTTTACACTTTTGATGAGTGTGGTCAGTTAATTTGTAGAATGTAGCTGTTTGGCAAAACAATACAGTAATAGCAACATGTACCAATAGATATTAAAATCAGTGGGCAATAGTTTGAGGAGAAACAAGATAGTTACATAGTCTCAATCAATGTATCTCTTAAGATACTTATTAATTACAAAAGGAAAAATAGTAACTTTATAATGGATAAATCTAGTTGACACCATCTTAAATGAGTAAGTTTAACATTTCCAGTAATAAGACATACTGACATCATGTACCCATTGATATGATGGGTACATGAGAAGGCATATAGTATCACTTTTATGATATTATTGCCAAAAATACATAACCTCAGTCACATGAGAATACACTAGATACTTTATTTTTAACTGTGTTTTCTGTTTAGGCAAAGCATAATTGATTTGAAAGAAAAGGAAATACCAGAATTAAGAAACAAACTGCAGAATGTCAACAGAGACATACAGCGCCTAAAGAATGACATAGAAGAACAGGAAACACTCTTGGGTACAATAATGCCTGAAGAAGAAGGTGCTAAAGTGTGTCTGACAGATGTTACAATTATGGAGAGGTTCCAGGTAAGTTTATTATAGTTTGAGGCAGAATAAAACTTGTTTTATGGTGGATTGAATGTGAAGCGTGAGAGTGTTAAAAATAGTAGCCGGTATTCAGGCACCGATTGTGTTTGTAGAGTTCCCCATGCTGAATTATTCATAAATTATGAGAAATAAGTAGTAGTCCTATTTGTTTTCATTTTTAGTCTGCTTGCTTTTGCTTACATCATTGAAATTATTAAAAATTAACTTCTTTTTCATTCTGTTCAACTTTCTTTAAATTGAATCTGAAAGCAGTTGTAAATTTAGATTAAAAAATAATAGCAATTAATTTTTAAAGAGTTTTGAATAATGATAATGTAATAAGTGTCTTAAAGGAAATACTGTTTTATTCTTAAGATGGAACTTAAAGATGTTGAAAGAAAAATTGCACAACAAGCAGCTAAACTACAAGGACTAGACTTGGATAGAACTGTTCAACAAGTAAACCAGGAAAAACAAGAAAAACAACACAAATTAGATACAGGTAATGCAGTCTATTTCCTCATGTTCCCATTAAAGACTTCAATGCTTCCAGCATGTGCTTTTTACTATAAATTTTACACCGGTTATATGGACAAAGAACTTGCCTTTCTTCCTTCCAGTCTACAGTGTATTCACTCTCTTCTCTCAAAAGTATCGCTACTCTTAGTTTCCTTGCTTTGCACAACAGAATTTGAATGATGGGAGATTTTGAATGATGAGTATCAAATGAGCTGTACTCTTTCTCAGTCATACCTGCCCTGTGGGCCTCACCTGTGAGTGGCCATGAGAGGACAGAAAGCTGGTTTGGAGGCTGCAGGGGTTCTTGTGGCACTTTTGTTGCAGTGGATGGGACCCACAGAAACTGGCCTTTGTGGATTCCATAGACCTATAAAATTTGAAGGATGCTCCTCATAGCATTTTCTGTAACCTTACATTAATCACTGTGTCAATATATTTTTGTGCAGTTTCCAGTAAGATTGAATTGAATCGTAAGCTTATACAGGACCAGCAGGAACAGATTCAGCACCTAAAAAGTGTCACAAATGAACTTAAATCGGAGAAACTTCAGATATCCACTAATTTACAACGTCGTCAGCAACTGGAGGAGCAGTCTGTGGAATTATCCACTGAAGTTCAGTCCTTATACAGAGAGATAAAGGTAAGAACATTCGTACATGTTTGTTTTTTAAATTAGTTCAAATGTATGAAATGCTCTTTAGTAGTGTAGTGATTAAATTATAGTTATTGTAAGGATAAAATGAAAATGGTATAATAATTCTTTGTGTGGATCCTGGGTGACAGAACTTGTACAAATAGGTAAAGATTTCTGGGAGAAGGATTTCAGTCATAATGAAGCACTGGTTGCCTGGTTAATTTAGTAGTGAACTTCCTGTTATTGAAGGTGGTCAGGTGGTGGCTAACTCTATGTGAGGATTCCTGCTTGTATGGGAGCTTTGTCTTATCTACAGATTCTGTATACACATCAGACATTGCCTCAGTCATAGCACCTTTCCTATTTGATTCCAGATGCAATCTTGGAATCCTTCCCAAAACAGTGAACAGGCACTTAGTTGCCACAGTGAATGGAACCCATTTGGAATCCCTCATCTAGAGTAATCAAATCTAAGACCCAACCAATTACATTTTTGAACAGCTTTAGAAACAACAATCTTATCTAGGTTTTCATAATTATACACATTCAGAGTCCAGAGTGCTAACCATTACACAGTGGAACCCTTCATAATATACACATTCAGTAAGCACTAAATATATTATTGAATCCACAGTTACTATAAATGTTTCTTAAGTATTTCTAGATTACAAAGTATCATAGGCTTATATTTGTATAATTTTTTTTTAAAGATTTTTATTGGGGAACTGGGAGATGGGAACAGCGCTGCGGAATTGGGGGAAGGGGAACAGACAAGTTGCTGTCCTTTTGTTCTTCAGTCTAGTTGTGGAGGACGTTGCTTCACTGGCCCAAGTTGGCACCATCATTGTGCTCTTCCCGGGCGAGGCAGATCAGTCGCTGGCTTCTGGACAGCCGCTTACGGTGACTGCTGGCCGCTCACGCTGGCTGCTGGCTACACACGGTAGCCCATGGCAACCCACTGCCACAAGGGCTGCAGCCTACGCCGTCGCCGGCGACTCACGGCAGCCCAGCTCCAGTTGAGTTGCTGTTCAGCATCTTAGCTGTAGAGGGCAGTGTCACTGGCCCTCATACGTGGGATCCGAACTGGGGACCTCTGGCATCCCAAGCCAGCTCTTAACCAACGTGCCACTTGGCCGGCCCTATATTTGTATAATTTTTTAGTATTTATAAAACACTTTGACAATAAGCCACATAGTGTCTCAGTAACCCTGTTGAGATATGTGACTAAATCCCCTTTTACAGAAAAAGAAATTGAGACTTTTAGATGTCCCTTGACTTGCTCAAGTTCACACAGCTGCCATGTTTCTCCCAAAATAAGAACTAGCTGGAGAAGAAGCCCTAACACGATTCCTCCAGGATATGGAGGGCATGCACCCCTCACATGAGGGTTTTATGACCTGTTTTAGGGAGAAGGGTGCCTTTTCCACAAACTCCTTCAGACCTTAAAATATTTAGCCATATTTTAAAATATGCCAACGTGCCATATTTTGGCACCTACAATCATGCGAGGGCTTATTTTTCTGCTAGGGCTTATTTTGGGGAAAACAGGCTAGTAAGAGGCAGGGTTAATGTCAGAAATTAGGTCTTCTGATATCTAATACATTTGACTTCCAATTATCCCATTCACTTCCCAATATGATAAAATATACCTGCGTTGAAGTAATACCAAATAATTGTTTCTACCTTTGTAGATTCATTAGATATTTCAGGTTCTTAAAATGCTTGAGGATTATTGTTTGGAACAGTGATTATCATGTAATTATGCTGTAGAGATGTTACAAGGCCAAATAATGCAGACTTCTGATTAGTAAACTAGTTCATTACTTAAAAGCCCCTTTCCTTCCAACATAGGTGTGGACACATTAGTATCAATGTGTACCAGTACATTTTTCTTACCATAAAATACTAGTTAGTCTTAGCAAACTAAGCTCAAGGACAAAAGCGACCTTTATGGTCATATAAAAGAGAGGCCTGGAGTGAATGAGCTTTCCTGTTCTTTGGTCACACATACTGGGCCCCTGCAAACTCATAAAAACTTATACCTGAAGCCATGTGCTCATATAATTGGGAGCACATGGCGTAGATTAAAAATTGAGACAGTGGCTGAGGCAGTGTAGCACAGTGGCTCAGGGAGAGACTGGGGAGTGGAATGGGATTTGAATCCTGGCTCCTTTATTTACTGGCTGTTGTGACTCTGGATAGATAGATATTTCTGTGCCTGTTTGCTCATCTGAAATACGGGATGAAAATAATGGTACCTTCCTCATAGGGTGGTTGGAAGGAGCAAATGAGTTGATGTTTAAACCCTGATGCATAGGAAAGTGCTTTTACGACTGTAAAGCCCGACACCTGAAGTAAGATAATGGAATATATATATATAAGACTTTGTTTTTTATATTTTTAGGATGCTAAAGAGCAGGTAGGCCCTTTGGAAACAACATTGGAAAAGTTCCAGCAAGAAAAAGAAGAATTAATCTACAAAAAAAATACAAGCAACAAAATAACACAGGATAAAGTAAGATTTCATTTATATGTTTACTTACCAAATATATTTATTAAACATTATGTTGAGAGCACCATGTTGAACATCATTATTTCACATGAAATTAAAAACATGATAAGATATAGTATACTCAGATTTGTGACATAATCTCGATGTTAAAAATTCTTGTTAGACTAAAGATTAAATGTAGTTTGTTTTTTAACATAAAATAGAAGTTGAGACTGTTTAACCGAATCCCATAGGTGATAAAGGGAATTGTCTGAGATCATAAAATTTGCTGGTGATGAAAACTAGAGCCCCAGGCTCCCAGCTTCCAAGCCAGTGCTTCATTGTGCTCTTCTAATTAAGTTTTCGTTACTTTAATATATTTCCTTGGAAATAAATCTTAAATGCCCTGATCCTCAACCAGTCTATATTTAATAAATATTTTTCTACAGATGAATGATATCAAAGAGAAAGTTAAAAATATTCATGTTTATGTGAAAAACATTGAGAATTATATTCAAGATGGGAAAGACGACTATAAGAAGGTAATTAAAAACTTAAAACTATTTATTTGTTCATATTTTTGTTTCTTGTGCTTAAAGAATTTTCTTTTTTGTAGCAAAAAGAAACTGAACTTAATAAAGTAACAATTCAACTAAATGAATGCGAGCAACACAAAGAAAAGATAAGTAAGGAAATGGGAATCATGAGACAAGATATTGATACACAGAAGGTAGGTCTTTTTGGCTCATGGCTTATGGTATCACTTAGACCAATAATACTCTGTGTTTTGTACTTTTATTTTCAATAGGTTCATTAAGTAGAAATGCAAACAATAGAGAAAATTAATTCCAATAACATTTTTTCCTTTCTTTTTCATTTTTATTTTCAATAAAAGATCCATTTGATAAAAATTTAAATATAAAAGCCTAAAATTAAAACTCTGCCTCCCTTTCTGCTAATTCTCAATCTCACTTCTAGACATCATTACTGTTATAGCTTTTTGTTTGTTATTAAAGAGTTTCTTATTCATGTATCAGCAGATAGATAAATAATATATGTATATGTAGGTGTTTACTTTTACAGTTGAGCTCATGCCACTCATATTCTGCACCTTGCTTTTTTTACTTAATGCAATTTGATTTTACTTGTCAACTCAATTCACAGATTCATAACACTCTTTTTAATGATTATAAAATAATCCATTTTGTATATGTACCATAACTTGATTACTTTTTTCCTTACTGCAAACTGTGCAGTAAATATCCTACATATATTTGTATTTTTTCTTACATATTTTTATGTAGGATAAATTACACAAAACAGAGATTGAGGTATAATAATATATTTTTTAAAATTGTTTGTAGGTAAAATATATATTAAATCATCTTTTAGTTGATTCCTCTGTCATTTATTTTCTGTATTAAAGAAATTTATTTCCATAGTATAAATAAAATCATATTGAGAAACTATCTTCAACATGCCTTATGCAAGCATGATAGTTAATATACCTTTAAAAACTACAGTTGATGCTTGAACAATGAGGGGTTGGTGCCAACTCCCCACACAGTCAAAAATTTGTATATAACTTTTTTTTTTAATACATTTTTTTTTAATTGAGGAATTGGGGGGATGGGAACAGTGCTGGAGAATTGGGGGAGGGGAACAGACAAGTTGCTGTCCTTTTGTTTTTCAGCGACTCACAGCAGCCCAGCTCCAGGTCGAGCTGTTGTTCAGCATCTTAGCTGTAGAGGGCAGTGTCACTGGCCTTCATATGTGGGATCCAAACTGGGGCCCTCTGGTTCTTAAGAACCAAGCCAGTTCTTAACCATCGCGCCACTATCCGGCCCTGTATATAACTTTTGATTCCCCCCAAATTTAGTCCTCCCACACACCCCTAGAATCTGAGGATGTTCAAATCCTCTGTATAAAACGATGTAGATCAGTGCATACAGTTGACCCTCTGCATTCGCTCCCAACCATCATCAAAAACAGTACAGGTATTTATTGGAAAAAATCTGCATAATAAGCATGTGGTTCAGACCTGTATTGTTCAAGGGTCAACTGTGTACCATTTCTCTGTTCCTGTTGTTTTAAACAAAATTTGCTATTTGAATGTTTTAATGACTTGGTTATAAGTGGTAGTTAAAAATCTCTGAAGATTAGCCATATCAGCTTTTTGCAGGGTCTCTGTAGTGCCAAGAATTTCAAATATGTATATGAATATCAGTCAAAGGTAAATCTCTGCCATCTAATATATGCTGAATAACTATATAAATTTATGGTGCATATATAACAGAATACTTAGTTATCACTAGCTTATATGTGGGTTGCCTATTTAAAATCACCATCTATAAATCAGTAATACCCCTCCATGTGCATATACTAAGATGAGTAAGATTTACCAATCTGTCTCTTTTCAAGTTGATGGTCTAAACTTAGTGGATCTGACTGTATTAGTTTACTTCTGTAACCTACCTTGTTCCAGAAATCTATATAACATAGAGCAATGCCAAATAACATTTTAAATTAATGGAAAAATGAGACAAGGAGAGTAGTAAGTACAAGTCCTTGAATAACATTGTTTCACTAGAATGCTGATGAAATACCTAGGAACTTAACTCGTGATGTATCAGTTAGCCTATGGTAAAATTGGTTTTGTTATATATCATTTAACTTAAAGTTGCAGAACCCATTGACCACGTTAAGTGAGGACTTACTGGTTATAAAATGTAGGCCATGAAATCTGATATGCTTGCTAAAGATTCTAGTAGTCATATGAAGAGAGGAAGTTACAATTGGTTAAGATTCACATTGTCTCAAAGCTAAAAGGAAACCAGTTCCCTGTACTGAGACCACAGAAAAATGTCTTCAGAGGCGTTCACAGAAAGAAGACACTGTAGAGATTAATAAAAGTCATGTCTTCAATAAACTTCATGGGGCTATTTTTTTAAAGTGTGTTTTAGCATCTTTATCATCCCTTGATGAGGTTCCATAGAGGGTGGTGTATTTGAAGCCTAAAATAAATGTTAGAATGTTTAGAGAGCAAAGGTTAGATAGGGGCACCCATTACAAACATCTGTTTTTTCCCACTACTGGTATTTAATCAAGAAAATTTAAAATGTAGATAGACTAAATGCTCCAAACAAAAGACATAGGATGGCTTAATGGATATGAAACAAGACCCATACATATGCTGCCTACGAAAGAGCCACTTCAGATTGAAAAACACACACAGGCTGAAAGTAAAGGGATGGAAAAGGGTATTTTGTACAAATGAAAATGAAAAGTAAGCTGGAGTAGCAATACTTACATCAGACAAAGCAGACTTTAAAACAAAGACTGTAACAAGAGACAAAAAAGGACATTTCATAATGATAAAGGGATCAATCCAACAAGAAGTTATAATTCTTGTAAACATTTATGCGCCCAACATAAAACCACCTAAATATATAAAGCAAATATTGATGGACCCAAAGGGAGAGATCAGTAGTAATAGCAGGGAACTTTAACACCACATTGACATCAGTGATCATCCAGACAGAAAATCAACAAGGAAACAGCCTTAAATGACACATTAGACCAGATGGATTTAATTGATATTTTTAGAATATGTCACCCACAAACAGCAGAATATACATTCTTTTCAAGTACACATGGAACATTTTCCAGTGTAGACCAGGTTAGGCCACAAAACAAGTCTTGGTAATTTAAGAAGTTGCAATCACATGAAGCATCTTCTCTGATCCCAGTAGGATGAAACTAGAGATCAATTACAAGAATAAAACAAAAATACAAACACATGGAGGCTAAATAACATGCTGTAAACAATGGGTTAACAATGAGATCAAGGGAGAAGTCAAAAGATATCTTGAGAGAAATGAAAATGAAAATAATGACCCAAAGTTGATGAGACACAGCCAAAGAAGTTCTAAGTGGGAAATTTATAGCAATACAGGCCTACCTCAAGAAATAAGAAAAATGTCCAATAAACAATCTAACTTACACCTAAAGTAAATAGAAAAAGAACAAATAAAGCCTAAAGAGAGTGCAAGGAAGGAAATAATAAAGATCTGAGTGAAAAATAAATGAAATAAAGTCTTAAATACAAAAACAGAAAAGATCAAACCAATAGCTAATTCTCTGAAAAGATTAAAAAAAACTTGATAAATCTTTAGCCGGACTTTAAAAAAAAAAAAAAGAAAACCCAAATGAATAAAATCAGAAATGAAAGAGAAGCGACAACACCATAGAAATGCAAAGGATTACAATGAAATACTAAAAGTTTCAGGCCAACAAATTGGACAACCTGGAAGAAATGGATAAATTTCTACATAGTACAGCCTTCCAAGGCTAAATCAGGAAGAAAGAGAAAATCTGAACAGATCGATTACTAAAGAAATCTAATCAGTAATCAACACTATGAAAACACTCCGAACAATCAAAAGTCCTGTACCGGACAGTTTCATAGGTGAATTGTACCAAATATTTAAAGAATTAATACTTATCTTTCTCAAACTATTCCAAAAAATTGAAGAGGAGGGAAGGCTCCCAAACTCATTTTATGAGGCCAGCATTACCCTGATAACAGAGCCAGACAAGGACACTACAAGACAAGAATGTCCACTTTCACCACTCTTATTCAACATAGTATGGGAAGTCCTAGCCACAGCAGTCATACAAGAAAAAGAAATAAAAGGCATCCAAATTGGAAAGGAAGAAGTAAAACTGCCATTATTTGCAGATGAAATGATGCTATACAGAGAACCCTAAAGATTCCACCAAAAATACTATTAGAACTGACAAATGAATTCAGTAAAATAGGATACAAAATTAATATTAATCAGTTTTATTTTTATATACCAATAACAAACTATCAGAAAGAAATAAAATCCCATTTATAATTGTATAAAAAATAATAAAATACTTAGGAATAAATTTAACCAAGGAGGTAAAAGGCCTGTGTTCTGAAAACCATAAGACATTGGAGAAGATACAAATAAATGGAAGCGTATACCACACTCATATTGGAAGAATTAATATTGTTAAAGTTTCCATATTACCCAAAGGAATCTACAGATTCAATGCAATCCCTGTCAAAATACCAATGGCATTTTTCACAGAACTAGAACAAATAATCCTAAAATTTATATGAAACCATAGAAGACCCCAAGTAGCCAAAGCAATTTGGAGAAAGAAAAAGTTAGAGGTGTCCTGCTACCTGATAGCAAACTTTACTACAAGGCTATACTGTACTATAGTAATCAAAACAGCATGTTATTGGCATAAAAACAGATACATAGATCAATTGAACAGAGTAGAGAGCCCAGAAATAAACCCATGCCTATATGGTCAATTAATCTATGACAATTGAAGCAAGACTATACAATGAGGTAAAGACAGTCGATTCAATAAATGGTGTTGGGAAAACTAGACAGATAACATCCAAAAAAATAAAAACATACTAGACCTCTTTCTCACACCATATACAAGAATAAACTCAAAATGGATTAAAGACTTATATGTAAGTTTCAAAACCATAAAACTTGTAGAAAACATAGGCAATACACTCTTTGACATTGCTCTTAGTAATATTTTTTTGGATATACATATCTCCCCTGGCAAAGGAAACAAAAGCAAAAATTAGCAAGTGGGGCTATATCATGCTAAAAAGGTTTTTGCACAGCAAAGGAAACCATGAACAAAACGTAAAAACAGTTTACTGAATGGGTGAAGATATTTGCCAATGACACATTCAATAGGGGGTTAAATATCCAAAAAATATAATGAACTCATACAACTTATTACCAAATAAATAATCCCATTAAAAAATGGATAGAGGAACTGAATAGACATTTCTGCAAAGCAGACATGCAGAAAAACAAACATGAAAACATGCTCAAAATCATTAATCATCTGGGAAATGCAAATTAAAACCACAATGAGATATCACCTCATACCTGTCAGAAAGGCTGTCATCAGTAAATTAACAAACGTGTGTTGGTGAGGAAGTGAAGAAAAGGGATCCCTCTTGCAGTGTTAGAGTTGCAAATTGGTGCAGCCACTATGGAAAACTGTGTGAAGGGTCCTGAAAAAATTAAAAATAGAACTACCATAGACCTAGCAATTCCACTTCTGAATATTTATCCAAAGAAATCTAAAACACTAATTCAAAAAGATACATGCACACCTATATTCATTGCAGCATTAGTTGCAATAATCGAAATATGGAAGCAACCTAAGTGTCCATCAATAGAAAAATGGATAGGGCCGGCCGAGTGGTGCCATTGGTTAAGAGCTGGCTTGGGATGCCAGGGGGCCCCGGTTCGGATCCTACATATGAGGGCCAGTGACACTGCCCTCTACAGCTAAGATGCTGAACAACAGCTCGACCTGGAGCTGGGCTGCCATGAGTCGCCAGTGATGGCAGGTGGGTTGCAATGGGCTACCATGTGTAGCCAGCAGCCAGCGTGAGCGGCCAGCAGCTGCTGTGAGTGGCCGTCCAGAAGCCAGCGACTGATCTGCCTTGCCTGGGAAGAGCGCAATGATGGTGCCAACTTGGGCCAGTGAAGCAACATCCTCCACAACTAGACTGAAGAACAAAAGGATAGCAACTTGTCTGTTCCCCTTCCCCCAATTCCCCAATAAAAAAAATAATAATAATAATAAAATAAAATACAAAAATGGATAAAGAAGATGTGGTACATATATGTAATGGAATATTACTTGGCCATTTCATTCATAGAATGAGATCTTACTATTTGCAACAACATGGATTGATCTAGCAGTGGTTCTCAACCTGTGGGTCGCGACCCCTTTGGGGGTCGAACGACCCTTTCACAGAGGTCACCTAAGACCATCGGAAAACAAAAAGATATTTACATGACGATTCATAACAATAGCAAAATTACAGTTATAGAGTAGCAACGAAAATAATTTTATGGTTGGGGGTCACCACAACATGAGGGACTATATTAAGGGGTCGCGGCATTAGGAAGGTTGAGAACCGTTCTCTGTACAGGGTATTCTGCTAGGTGAAATATGTCAGACTACAACAAAGACCATATAACCTCTTATATGTGGAATCCTAAAAACAAAATAAATGAACAAACAAAACAGAGCTCATACCTGCAGAAAACAAATTGATGGGTGCCAGATTGGAAGGTGGTTGAGGAGATGGGAGAAAAAAGTGAAGGGATTAAGAAGTATAAATTGGCAGTTAGCAAATAAGTCACAGGGATGTACAGTATAGCATAGGGAATATAGACAGTAATATTGTATTAACTCTGTATGGTATCCGATGGGTCCTAGACTTATCGGAGTGATCACTTTGTAGGTATGTAAATGTCTATTCACTATGTTGTACACCTAAAAGTAATATAATACTGTATGTCAGCTGTAATTGAAAAATAATTTACAAAAGGAGTTATTTCATGCAATCATGAAAGCAAATTCCAGTGTTACATAATAGATGAAAGCAAGCAATAGCACATTCTCTTCTTCCTAATAAGGAAAAAGTACAGGGATAGTCCCTCATGGAAGAATTTTAGTCACAGCAGCTGAAGTGGTATATTAGGTTGCTTTGGCAACAAAAGGATATTTACAACTATATAATTTAATTACCTTTAACTGCTTATAATGATGCCTTTAATAGATATATCTATGTTTATGTTATTTCTAGTAAAACTGAAGGTAAACTTAATACCAGTTAATAACAAAACAATCTCCAAATAGTGATTTATAGATGGGCAGGGTTGGATATGAACACTAAATACATGTTTTGGCTTACAGTCTTCTCTCCCACATCCCAAATCCTTTTTCCCTGGTGACTCTGGAATTACTGTTGATAACAAGATATTGTTAACAAAGATCTGCCTCTCTCTCCCACTTTGCACATGACTGAATTTACCTCCTGGACAAGGGTTACCGAAGAAAGGAGGCTCCTAGGTCCCTCTTTGAGAAGTCCTGACTTTGAACTTGTGATGAGTTTTCTATAATCAGGCTGCTTTTTTGGGCCAAACCAACATTGTTTTTTCTCTAAATTTCAAAGAATCAACTTACAAATTTTTTACTAATGTTTGTTTCTTGACAACATAGCCCATTATAATCACCAGCCAACTACTGAAATAGTTGTGTTGGTGTTGCTGTTGCTGTTGCTGCTGCTGCTAAGTGATTAGGTCTGTTTTTAAGGACAAAACTACTCAATAAAAACAGCCAACTTTAAAATTTTTAAATTCAATTCAATGGCCAGAAAGTACATACTATTTTTTGGTACTTTTTACTGCCTTGTGTGATTATTTGTCAGCTTGAATGTAAAGGCCTTATCTCACATACTTAAAATAGTATTGGCACACATTAGGAGACATACTACTAGGCAAAAAAATTAGGGGGAAACTTTGATAGTAGTATTGGTCTCTTGTGATCTTTTAGATCAGTAGGCTCCATTATGGGTTCCTATGCAAGATGATCCAGTGGGATATAGGTATAAAATATTTAAACACCTAGTTAATATTTTTTATTTCATAATTTAAATCTCTGTTTCTTATATATGTGTGCCTTCCAGATTAGTCCAGGCTTGAAGATTCCTTCACACTGGCTTATTCCCCCTCTTTTGAGTTTTAACGTGATTCTAAGTAAGGTAGAATTAGCACTACCTGTCAGCAGTGACCTGTTATGAATCACATGTTGGATACTTGATTATTTTGTTAACTGGTTTAATATTTACGTTTAGATACAAGAAAGGTGGCTGCAGGATAACCTTACGTTAAGAAAAAGAAATGAAGAACTAAAAGAAGTTGAAGAAGAAAGAAAACAACATTTGAAGGAAATGGGTCAAATGCAGGTTTTACAAATGAAAAAGTATGTTGTTAAAAAGTCTTGTTTAAATAAAGGCCTTTACTGAATCGTGAAGATATTCAATACATGTTTTTTAAAAAGGATTAAGCCTTTAGCCTAAGTGTCCCTTGAGACTTACAGGAAGGTGGACAGAATTTTTATGCAAATATATTTCATGGCCTTACAAATTAAATTACTGAAGAAGTGATATAGAATTTATAGTTATACTGCAGAGTTGGGCAGGATTAAAAATGCCATGTCCACAGATTTTTGCTAGCCTGCCTCATAAGATAATGGTACTGAGCAAAAAGAATTATATGGCCCTGTGGACCCTGCCTGGATCAGAGCTTGTGCAGTCAATAATATTGCTAGTGGAGTTATTGCCAAAGTGATTTGCCATTGGAGACCCTTTTATATGGTCCCAGTTGTGATTATGTGCCAACCAGGGCAGGGTGTTTGTTTGTTTGTTTGTTTTTAAGATTCACGTGATTCTTCTTTCATCTGGTTTTATGGGCAGTTGCTACCTTCCTAGTACAGCAGAAAAGATTTTATTCTTGCCTTCTCTGCCTTAGAGTTGCCTTAAGAATTCTGTAAGAACCCGGTTGATGCTAAGGCATTAGACTGGTATAAAACGTGTGCTTGCCAAATACTTCTGAACCACCTCAACTGGTTAAATATAGGTCTGTCATTCACTCAGCCATTTCTTGTAGATTTTTCATTTTTCTTCTTGACTTTATATCGAAATCTGAATCAAAGAATGCTTAAGTTTTTCTAAAGGATATAGTAAATTGTAATTTTAATTTAATTTATAAAACCTAACAAATAGCTAATCCTGTTATTGTAAAATTTTTTGGTTTGGCTATTTAAAATCTCTTTCATATAACGAGGAAATCAGACTATAACTGGAAGCACTCATCTTCAGCTTCTTCATTTTTTATGCATTAGGATGCTAAGACCCAGAAAGTATCACAGGAAATGATGATGAAAGCCAGGAATGTGACCCAGATATCCCAACTCCCAACCCTCAGCTCTTTAATGCTGAAATGTTAGTGCTTTCGGTGTCAAGTTGGAAAAAGTACAGCTTTTAGAAGAAATTTTTAAGTAAAACAATTTATTCTTTGCTACCAAAGACCAAAACCAGATATTTTTATAATTCCTTCGGTGATTGGTACATAACAATGCTTTTTACATCCATTCAGACTGCTAAGTACAACTGCTCTTTTCCAAACCTTTCTTTAACCAGGACACAACAAAAATGTCAATAAAACAGATAATCAGGCCAATTCAATAAGGATGTTCATAAACTTGAGAACAGTGCCTGGCACATAAAAGGGTACTTAATATGTAATAGTTAAGTAAATGAAGATTTTTAAAGGATACATTAAAATCTGTATTATCTACTAACTTACCAGAAAAGTTTGGATATTTTACTATTTTGAGTTAGTGTTTACGCTGTTTTTGTATACTTGTGTGAGAGAAAGTTTGTTTTCAAAGAGGAGTACAAACTTTTAATAATTACTGGGTTGTTGGAAAAGTCATGACATATATTTTCTATGTTTTTTGTTGCAAAAATGCGTCATGACTTTTCCGACAACCCAGTATTACTGTAGAAACTACTAGTGTAATTGAGATAAAATTATATTTGTTTTGACATTGTGAAAAAATTATGACACTGTTTTTGAATAACTTGTCAGCATTTGTATTTATACATTCTCAGTTCACAGTGAAAAGTTTGTGAATTTGTAATATTAATCACCAACAGTGCTTTACTTAGGTTAGTCAGTGTCTAAAAGTCAGTAACTTGCTCACTGCTCACATGCTATGAGAGTTCTTTATTCAGCACACAAAAATCAATTGTTTAGAAAACTAGATGTTTCAGAGATTTGGAAGGAGGAAGATTTTCTTTCATACTGAGCCTTAAAAAAGCAAGGAGAGATTCTGTTGTATGCTGATTGTTACAGAGAATGATAAATGATATTTATCTCACTAATGAGATCTGACTTTTCTACTTCAGGCTGCTACAAGCTAAAAACAGTCCTCATTTGTCATTTTTCCCTTTTATAGTGAACATCAGGAATTGGAATCAAAAATAGACAATATAAAAAGAAATCATAATTTGGCAATAGGGCGACAGACAGGTTATGAGGAAGAAATTATTCGTTTTAAGAAAGAACTTCGAGAACCTCAATTTCGAGATGCCGAGGAAAAATATAGAGAAATGATGATTGTTATGAGAACAACAGAGCTTGTGAATAAGGATCTGGACATTTATTATAAGACCCTTGACCAGTAAGTATTGGGCTGGGGATTTGGTTCCCATTGGAATGAATATCAACTAGCATATTTTAGTCATATTTTCCTCCTTTCTTACTTTTTAATTATATTTAATACGTACCAAAGAATGAAAAAAATATATATGTGGATACACATACACATACTAAAGTTATGAAGGTAAGTTATAATGCATAGAAATACTAAGGAGTGTTCATAATACCACCCCCCCTCCCGACACACCCAACCCAAGAACTTGACCATTATCACTAATTGGCATCCACTTACATGCTCCTCCTCATCTCAACCTTCTAACATTTCCACTCCCTGTAACCATTGGTACAGATTTTTTTTATTATTATTATTATTATTAGTTTCACATGTATAAAACAATGTAATAGTTAGACATTTACAATCCTCACAAAGTGATAACTCCCCCTGCACTCTACTACCCCTCTGACATCGTATATAGCTGTTACAGCCACTGACTCTGTTCCTTATATTCCACATCCTGTTACTATATATATATTTATTAAATTATAGTTGACGTTCATTATTATTCAGCTTCAGATGTATACTGCAGTGGTCAGGCAGCAGATTTTTGCTTTCTGTGCTTTTTTTTCTTTTTTTTTTTAAATTTTTATTGGGGAATTAGGGGATGGGAACAGTGCTGGGGAATTGGGGGAAGGGGAACAGACAAGTTGCTGTCGTTCTGTTCTTCAGTCTAGTTGTGGAGGATGTTGCTTCACTGGCCCAAGTTGGCACCATCATTGCGCTCTTCCCAGGCGAGACACATCAGTCGCCCGCTTCTGGACGGCCACTCACTGCGGCTGCTGGCCGCTCACGCTGGCTGCTGGCTACATACGGTAGCCCATGGCAACCCACTGCCACAGGGGCTGCAGCCTATGCCGTCGTCGGCAACTCACAGCAGCCCAGCTCCAGGTTGAGCTGTTGTTCAGCATCTTAGCTGTGGAGGGCAGTGTCACTGGCCCTCATATGTGGGATCCGAACGGGGGCCCTCTGGCATCCCAAGCCAGTTCTTAACCATTGCGCCACTCGACCGGTCCGCTTTCTGTGCTTTTTAAAAAATAATTTTATCATATGTATGTTTTTTCTAGCTTTTTAAAAATATCATATTCTGTGTACTCTTCTAGGATTTGCTGTTTTAAATTTTGTTTTTATGTATTCGTGTTGCTTATTGCTACTTTCATCTTCACTGACATACAGAATTCTGTTGTGGGAATATACCACTATGTGTCCATTCTCCTGTAGATGGACATTCAGTGGTTTCTGGGTCTTTATCCTTCCTGCTAAGAACATTCTTGTCATGTCTGCTGGAGCAAAACCATAAGAGATTCCCTAAAGTATATGTGGGAGTAAAATTTCTGGGTTGCAGGATATGCTCAGTTTTACAAAATAATGTTAATTTTTTTGCAAAAGTAATTTTACTAGTTTTCACCACTAGCAAAATATAAGGATATTTTTTTGACACATCCTCTGACATTGATTATTGTCAGTGTCTTAATTTTTGTTAATCTAAGAGGTTTATAATAGTAAATCATTGTGGCCTTGATTTGCAGTCCTTGATTTCTAATATCATTGAACATCTTTTCATGTTTGATCATTTTGTTTCCTCTTTGAAATGTTTGTGGCTTTTACCCATTTTTAATGTGTCACTGGCCATCTTATTGATTTGCAGGCATTCTTTATCTCTTCTACATTTTAGTTCTTTTTCAGTTATATGTATTACATGTATTTTCTCAAGCTTTTTGTGTTTATCTTTTCACTTTTTTACAGTGTCTTAATGAACAGATTTGATTTTTAAGGTAGTTGAATTTACCAGTCTTCTGTGGTTAGCTTTTTTTATATATTTAAGAAATCCTTCCCTACTACTACATTTTCTTCAAAAAGTTTTAGTTTTGCTTTTCACATTTAAGTATTTAATCTTAAATTGAATTTTATGTACAATGTGAGGTAGAAATCCAAATTCATTTTTCCCTTGTGGATAACCAATATCTGGCTCTGTTTATTGAATATTCTTTTCTTAATGATCTGCAGTGTCACGTATGTCATATATCAGAATTTCATATGTGTATCAGTTCTGGGTTTTCCATTCTATTTCATTGGTAATTTTGCCTATCTCTGTGCCATTGCTGAGACTGTTTTAATTACTACAACTTTATAATATATTCAGCATATAACTGAGTTTTGCTTTTTATTCAGTTTGACCATCTTGGTCTTTTAACTAGTGAATTTAGTCCTTTCCAGTCATTGTGATTGATTACTTAACAGAGTTGTGTTTATTCGTCTTTTTTCCTGCTCTCTTCTATGGGGTTGATTTATTTTTCTTTATTCCTCTTGTTTCCCATTGGGTTGTAAATGATATATTCTATTTTAGTTATTTAGGTGTTTACCTTTAAATTTTTAACATGGATTTCTTTTCTTTAAGATTTTATTTTTATTTGGGAATTGGGGGAGGCGAACAGTGTTGGGGAATTGGGAAAGTGGACCAGCCAAGTTGTTGTTCTTCAGTTTTCATTGTGGAGGGTGCCAGTCGCCATCTGGCTGCCCGTCAGCAGCTCGTGGCCTATTAGCTCAGGGTGCTGTGTTCACTCTTAGTTGCAGGTGGACGTAGCCACCATCCCAAGCGGGAGTCGAACAGCAGCCTTGTTGTTAAGAGCGCACACTCTATCCAGTGAACCATCCAGGGGGCAGCTCAGCTCAAGGTGCCACATTCAGTCTTAGTTGTGGGTGGGTGTAGCCCACCATCGAACAGGCAATCTTGTGGTTACACCAGCTGAGCCATCCTGCCACTTGTTGGCAGCTTGGCGACAGCTCAGCTCATGTCATTGTCTTCAATCTAGTTACTCACTGGCCCATGTGGGAATCTAACCGGCAGCCCTGTTGCTCAGAGCTCGCACTTTTTTTTTAAAGATTTTGTTGGGGAATTGGGAGAGGGGGAACAGCGTTTGGGGAATCGGGGAAGGGGAACAGACAAGTTGCTGTCCTTTTGTTCTTCAGTCTAGTTGTGGAGGACGTCGCTTCACTGGCTCATGTTGGTATTATCATTGCGCTCTTCCCGGGTGAGGCAGATCAGTTGCTGGCCTCTGGACGGCCACTCACGGCGGCTTTTGGCAGCTCACGCTGGCTCCGGCCACACACAGTAGCTTGTGGCAGCCCACTGCAGCAGGGGCTTCAGCCTACGCCATTGCCGGTCACTCAACGGCAGCCCCGCTCCAGGTTGAGCTGTTGTTCACCATCTTAGCTGTAAAGGGCAGTGTCACTGGCCCTCGTGGAATCCAAACCAGGGCCCTGCTGCTCAGAGCTGGCATCCCAAGCCAGCTCTTAACCAATGCACCACTCGGCCGGCCCAGAGCTACGCTCTTAAGCCAACTCTTAGCCAGCTGAGCCACTTGGCCGGTCCTTAGCATGCATATTTTAAAATCAAATGCATTGATTCTCAGAGTGGTTCTGGAGCAGCATTATCAGTATCACCTTGGAACTTGTTAGATAGGAAATAGGGATAGAGATGCAGTCCCACATCCACAGTGTTGAGATTAATAAACAGCTCGGCTTCAGAAGTTCCCCCTGTGGAGCAATAGGTCTCTGCCCATGTCAGGCTCAACATCCCAGGGCACCGGTGCTGGGAAGGGGAGTCCCCATAACATCTGGCTTTTAACACTAGCCAGGGATACCAAGAGAGTTGAAGGACAGTGGGAGACCAAAATGCTGTTCTTAAAGGGTTTGCACACAAACTCGCTCAAGGCTCTATCATAGAGACAGCAGTTCAAGTAGTGCCTGGGTCATATGGGGAGGAATTAAACAGACTAACTTTAGGATGAGGCTGGAGGGCCAGGCATCAGTGAGAATTCTCTGGGAAGACGGAAGCACTGGCAGATTTCATTGTTCCTTTGTTGAGCTCTCCTCCCCTAGCAGGCCTCACATAGGTGGGCACAAAATCTGTCATCCTCCATTAACCTGGCTAACACTGTTTGCCCTGCCCCAACCAACTTGATCGCCTGGCCGTAGCCTCTTCCAACAACTCCAGACCCTCCACACAATTAGTAGCCAGCCTCAGCCCACACCAGTCTCTGCCAAACACCCTCAAGCTCCACACAAGTGGCGACTTGCACTGCAGTCTATCCCAAACACCCTGACACTCAACACAACAGCGGATGGCCTCAGTTCACATCATAACTCCCACCCAACAGTCCCAAGCCTGGCACAAGTGGCAGCTGGCCTCAGTTCACATTGTAGTCTCTCCCAAGCGCCTCCAATCCCAGCACAAGTGGGATCAGCCACAGTTCACATTATCATAGTTCCTACCAAGTGGCCCCAAACCTGGCACAAGTGGCAGCTGGCTGCATCCCACACCTCTCAAGAGGCTCCAGACTTGACATACCTGGCAGCCAGCCACAACTGCATCCAAGCAGCTCCGTAAGCAACACACCCAATGAGCAACCTCACCTAGCACCAGAGTCCTGCTGGAATGACTCCTGCTCCATGGGACCAGCCCCCACACAATAGCTCTTCCACTATAGTCAGCCGGTCCTTACAGCCAGGAGGCATAAGGATCAAGACCACTCACCAAAATGCCGCAGCAATCACAGCTCAACTACAACAGGAGGACACACACAACCCACATGAGACACCCCTGGAGCATCTGGTTATAGTGATAAGGGGAGACTGTGCCACTGGGACTCACAGGACACCTACATAAGGCCACTGTTTGTTTCAAGACTGGAAGACATAGCAGATCTGCCTAATATATAGAAACAAACAGCCAAAATAACGAAAGAGAGAAATGTATTTCAAATGAAAGAACAGGACAAAACTCCAGAAAAAGAACTAAACGAAACAGAGACAAGCAATCTACCAGATAAAGAGTTCAAAACAATGGTTATAAAGATTCTCAAACTCAAGAGAAGAATAAATGAACTCAGTGAGAACTTCAACAAAAAGGCAGAAAATATTGAAAAGAACCAGTCAAAACTGAAGAATACCATAACTAAAATGAA